TGAGCGAGGAACAGCTCATGAAGGACTTTGGTATGAGCCTCAGGAATTCACACTTTTTACTGTCTGAGGTTGCACAAGCTGTTCAGCAGGTGGAACACAAAAAATGCACAAGGGTAGAGTAGATACTCCCTACATACATCATGTCCTTCACAGTAATCATTATAGCAAGCATACATTGCACAAATTTTGGGTATGCATCAGTGTGACAACCAACATACATGTTGCATACAGACACAAGCTACAAAGCTACAAATATCCTGCATTATGGAACCACCCACACGCAGCTTCTGGAGTGACTGTATCAAGTGCACCATAGAGAAACAAATATGGAAGTGTTTTGTCTCCAGATTCAATGATAGCACAGAACTGATTGCCATGGTGGCAAATGTAGGCCTTCAAGTACAAAAAACACTCTTCAATTGGGTTCAAATCAGGGGAATATGGAGGTAGATAAACAAGTTTGATGCCACTGTAATAGTTACTTGAGTATGTGTACTGAAAAAAAAAAAAAGAAAAAAAAAAAACCATTCCCAGCAGAGTTCTTCTACACCATCAATGTGATGGATTCTGCAATTATCCATCACAAGTACACTATGAGGGGCTGGATATGGATTCATGACATCAAGGAGTCCACGAAGATAGTTGAGAAAGTGATTGCCATTGTACGCACCTACTTTGATATGGCTGTAAATTATCCCACTCGTCATCAGAGCTGGAAGGATGGAATATCTGTTGGAAAGAGTGTTATGTAAAGAAGGCAACATCATATGGAGAATACATACCATGTCCCATGAATGAAGTTGCAATGCTTGTGTGCCCGCATACTAGAATGGCTCCATCCATTCAGGCAAAACATCATAAGTACATCCACAGTGCTTTCATCAATACAGACAATGTGGTCAGGAGAGTCTTCACCAATTGCCATGGTGAACTCATGACGTGCTTCCTCACTGCGCTCGCTGGCAATTCAAGAAAGCTAAAATATGATGATGTCAGTGTCTGAAAATTGAGATCAAAGTGTATGTGTCATACCTTTTTTGAAGACAGACCCAAATGTTTGAGTGTATGCCATATTGTTGCAATAGAGACTTCAATGTTGTGAAGCAAGAGTAATTGTTGCTGAATTTCTTCAAGATAGAGGTTGGGGGAATGTTCAAGAAGTGCCAGCATGAACTAAGATATGGATATGATCAGCTCTCAATGCTATTTCCAATGTTAGAATGATTTAGACATACCTCTACTGCTGTTTCAGACATCACAGGTATGCGCCCATCCATTTGTTGTTCATTGACAACTTCACCAGTTTCACGGTATGTCTTGAGGACATGTTGAACAACTCAAAGTGGCATGTCAAGTGAAATGGCAATAGAAGTTGTGGTCTGACCAAGTACATGAGCTTGATAGATGATTCACTGCTTGAGATCTCGAGAGTATTGCCTGTGGGTACAACTAGAAAAGTGCCTTCTGCGTGCCATATGGAAATCACTCACATGCTTGCAGGCCAGTACCACAGAAAAACATGCTTGCACATCGAGGCAGCTGACTTGATTAGTCAGCACACACAACTCACACACAAAGATAAGACAGGCATGGACAACTACCTCAACAAGTGTGAAACAAAGTGCATTTCTGTATGATACTGTTCCCTAGGTATTTTGAAGGGCTTTATGGATCTGAAACTTTTGTAAAAAAATATGCAATGTGGAGTGAGCAATTTTTGTTACATGATTGGCACCATTTGGAGTGCAGATTGCTCTCTGTTGGTACAAAACAATGGAAAAACCACTGGATTTTCACCATGGTTCCCTCACCACCAGTGTATAGATCATGGCTAGAGGCATTTACAGCCATAGAAATGTGTAAATCACTTGCAATTGTTGTTATATGCTCAGAATGACCAAGTATTTTTTCCTGTCCAAAATAGCGGCTATTTCATCATGATTTCTACATCATCCCCTAGAGCTGATAATGCTGATTCAGAATATCAAATTTTCTTTCAGATCTATCAAGAATTGAGCGAAATATTTGAGATATATATTTTATCTAGGATACCTATGAGTTTTGTTGTGTTTGGCTGGTGCCCTCGGTACTGCAAACTGCTGTAACTCCAGTCCAACCAGACTTGGCCCCTGTCTCCCAGCCTTGACTTTGGTCACCTGGGTTTAGCCCTTGTCACCTGGTCTTGAAGCCTGGTCGCCTGAGGGTAAACCTGTACTTAACATGAACAATCTACAGCTGCTCCAGTTAACCATATACATCCAGGTCCATTACCATTGTTGCTGATGCATATCTTGCTGTGACAGTGGCAATTATATTGGTTCTTTTCTTTTCTTTTGTTTTCACAAAGTAAGTCACTTATTTTTGCGACTGCATTTAATAACTAATGCACATCAAACACAAAAAACACATCAATTTTCCATCAAAGAATCCCCTCCCCCCCTGTGGAAGATCCCTCAAATTAGTCAGGTATTCAGGTGTATTTCTGACACTGCATACCCATTACTACTGGCAGGTTGTGTACTAACCCTGTGTACATGTTTAATCAATCAACTAAGCATCTTTAGGTCATTCATTGGCTGCCATGATTAATTTTTAGTTGTCCTCCAATGTGATATTGCAGTTTTCTGGAATACTACATGTCAAATGAAAGGCCCATCAGCTATTACTGCAATTTAGATGTAGTGATGTAAGTGGCAGACATGGTGATGAGCACTATTACAATCAAATGAGGGTGACTGTAATGGCAAGGTTGATATTGAGAGTTCCTGGATTCTGGCAATGCTTTTGTTGCAGTAGGCAACCAAATGCAGTGTCAAGTTAGGTAGTCTATTGTGTTGTCTGATAAAGCCTCTGGTGTCCTCTGTGTGTTTAATGGGTTAGCTGGTGCAACATCACCAGGTGTGAAGCCATGCTGGTGTGTACTAGATATTTTCTCACTCTTATTACTAAATGGTATGCTAACAGAAGAATTTGTGTGGGCAGGTTCCCAAGTGCACAGCAGAAGATGATGCCATGGGGCTCCCTGCAAAATATGTAAGTGGCCAGCAATGTCAAGATTTGACCTTTCCTCATAGCATCTAGGAGGTGTCCCAAGATCGCCATCTATCACAAGTTCCAGATGAACTGCTGCTGGAAATTGTGGACCTGTTGGACACAGATTCACTTCAAAGGTTGTCCCAAGTATCCCAACAACTACAACACATTGCCAGTCATTGTTATCTTGTCTTGGTAGGCTTCAGGCTGCCAATTGCTGGTTGGCTGGATGTGAATGAGGTAGTTTGTGATGCCCTCCCTGTGTGGAGGCACATTGCATTTAAACCAGTGAAGACTTTGTGGTTCAGGTCTTTGCAAACATTAAGCAGATGGAAGCTAGGTGCAATGTGCACATTCTTTGACTCTCTCAAGGATATGCAAGCAGTCTGTCAAGTGCACTTGCACTTATATATTGACCCAATGGGCATGTCCCCTATATTTGGTTCTCTGCTAGCAAGCATAGGCTCCAGGTGCACTGAACTTCATGCAAGTAGCCACAGTGCTTCTGGTGGCTTGATCTGTATTCCTTGCATGACCCAATTGTTTCCAAGCACCTTGACATCTCTCAATATCTCATCACCTATGTTCTTTTTTCCACACTCTATCTGATTTACCCTCTCTGTGCTGAGATGTGCTCCACTGGCAATTTTACAGCTTAATAATACAGGCCTAAGTCCTTTACAGTGGGTGGTACCCCTTGGCGAGGTAAACCTACCTTCCCTCATTGAATTGGAGGTGGACCAAACTTGCCCATATCATGCCCTTGCTACCTGTCTAATCGCACATTGGGCTATCTCCAAGCTAACTATCTCCCATTGTGGCTTTCCTACCATGTCTGTGGAAGATATCACTCATCATTCTGTCCTTCACTCCTTTTGAAAGCTCACAGGACCCACTACCAGGATCCTCCCCCTTCTGAAGGTAATTACCCTTCCCAGTGACTTCCAATGCCTATACATTACATTTCATCCCTACCATCCTGAAAGAAATCAAAATGTCTTTTCCAACATTTTTTTGTGTGCAGAATACCTCCTGCATCTTTCCCTTCTTGAAATTTCAATGCCCATGATCACTTCTGCCGACAAGCTTGCAGCATTTGTCACATTCCCAATAAACAACAGGCACATAATCCCTGTGAGAGACCTCAATTTTAGGGGAATCCACCCAATCCTTAGTACTCCACTCCAGATGTCTTCAATGCAATTGTAAGTTCTTCTCTGCACTTACTTTGTTGCCTCTAACTGTTTTTCAGGGTCACTGCAGCCCTTGGCTTAGAGCATTTCCTAATGTTTGTGTGCTGCATAATTCATCAGGTAGACCCCTCCCTCTCAATAGATACAAGGCTATTTTCTGCCCCTTCACTCAACAAAATGTGGAGATCATGATTATTCCATACCAGTATTGATGATTTTACTTGAACATATGCCATCTACAATGGACATGTTGGAGCATATTGAGATCAAGTAGAGAATTACCTTGAATACCAGCAGTGCCCTCTGCAATCAATGTGAAGTTAACCACACTGACCACATCCACCCAGGACCTCACTTCACTCCCCTGCCACCCCTTCTGCTAACATGATATACATTAGCCCCCTAGTGCCCCTTCTGCTCCACTCTATACCAGGATGGTCTGAGATACTAATCCCTGTACTAATGCTGGAGCTCCTCTCTCCCAGGTATAGTACATACAGGATGTGATAAACTTGTAAAGATGCTTGTGTCAAAGGTAAATTATGTCGAAATATAAACATAGTCAAATTGATAACTATACAATGTGACTATATGAGAAGCACTGACAAAATGTCAGTAAATTGATTATGATTAGGCTGAAAGACCTACCTTGTGGCATCAATCAGTCATGCAGCAATGACCAGGCAAACATCACATAATGGAAGCTGAGTCCCATCCTCTAATACCACCCCTTTTGGGGATTTCTTAGTTTGACATTTATTGATGTAGTGAATTTCACCTTGGAGCATGCTGTTCAGTATTAGGCAGAACTGACCAGTACTTGTTGGGTTGGCAGGGGACAAGTTGCATGCCAGAATAGTGTGGTGTTCAATGATGGTGCTTACCATGCTTGAGGTCATGGTAACCAACACATGCCCAGGAGGTGCCACACCATGCTTCTCTGAAAAGAAATGATCTGGAATGGTGGTGCAAACCACCTGCTTGCCCAGGGTCCTGCAATTGTAGGCAAGCCCAACTCTCAAGCAGACATGCCACTTGCTGAAGTTACAAAAGTCATTGTCAAAGAGCCAGGACATGCATCCTAAACAGCAAAGTCAAGAGAATGTGTAGTGAGAGGAGGGAGAGAATTGACATACCATAGTCAATGGTTTGTTGCTCCTGCTCACTGTGATGTTGCAGATTGACATCATCAGGAGTGGTGACCCAGGGGTTGCTTGGACCTGGATCCACTGAGGGATTTTCACTCAGCAGTGGAGGCAGAGCGGTGCTGTGACATTGAGATTGAGTTATGAAACACCCCTGTTGCATATGGTTGAATGCTGCCAAGCATGAGGAACCTAGTGGTGTCCCATCAAGCAAGATGCCAAATCTAAAAAGGAAACATCAGTGCATTGAAGCAGTTTGTGGGGTTGCAGAGGGAAACCCAGTGAGGAATCTGTAGGGAACCTCAGTAGTCTGCCAAGCTACTTGTATTGAGTATAGTACCTGTAGGGAACTATACAAGTTAGTAAGGATATTCTATCTATGTAGAAGTGTACTCACTGTCAGTAGTCTGTCAAGCTACTGAGGGACTAGGTAAATTTTACTAGTGTATGGGTGCGCTCTAACAGCTTATGTAAGCGACACAATCACATGCCTAAGTCCAAGTAAGGACAGGGGTCATTTCACTCCAACATGCATGACCCCTAGCAATGAAGTGACTTACCTGGAGGTGACTGCAGTATTTTTGAATGTCATGGCACTGGAATGGATTTCAACTGTGCACAAATTTTGGCCTACTGATCACAGCATCCCACTGTATCCCTTATTTGGACCCAAGATGATCCATACTTCACATCCAATATGTCATTCTGCATAATGAAGGGAGTAGTCCCTTAATTTAGTGCAGAAGTTAATAGGGATGTTGTACTATGATGCCATTAGAGAGATGGGATGACAGGCAATGTAGAGCCACATACCCATGGACCATCTTCAGACTCCAGCGTAAGGGTTGCAGTGATCAGGTTGACACTGTGAACAACACCTTTGACATCTGCAGCAGGACCCCATATGACTTGTATTAGGTTGCCTTTAGAAACATCCCACCCCTTCTCCTTTGAGAACTGCAGTGTTGGTCAAGCTGTCACTTGGATGTTGTCCAAGCTGACAATGATCACCTCCTCATTGTCAGCCCCATTGCTGTCACTGTCCTTACCAGGAACATCTGGTACTTGAGCCTTGGACTTGCCTTTGTCCCCCTTGGCATCTTTGTCATTGAATGCCTTTTTGATGTGCTGCATGACCCATATTTGTCTGAGGCTGCAGGAGAAGTATTGCACTCAGCCTGCAAGGCCCCTGTAGGGTCTGCTAATGATACATACTGTGTCCCCAGGCTCTATGAAGTGCTCTTCAACTGGGGGATGGTGTTGCAGTTGATTGTGGGGGTCTTGGTTGGGATAGCTCAGCAGCACTCTGTGTGATGCTAGGAAGATTGTAGGGATGTCCATCTATGAGCAAGTGTTAGCAAAGGATTTTACTCCAAATACCCTGACTTGCCTGTTGTCTGCTGTTTCCCCACAAAAGAGTCATGTCCTCAATCACATCAACACTGAGTACCATGCCCTCAAAACCATGATGAGGGCCAGCAATGATGTCTACTGAATCACCACTGCAAAACTTGCATTTGAAGTCATGAATTGAAATCTCCAGAGATGTAGGCAATTCCAGAGTAGGATTATCCAAATGAACAGTCACTGATTCACCTTGGACATCCATCACAGTGTAGGCTACCTTGTTGACAAACTCCCCAGCCTGAATCTTGCCATGATCTCCTACCTGCCACCTTTGAGCAGAGAAATGAGTCAAGGTATGTGCAACCAAATTGGGATCCATGTCTGACACAATGAACCATGCAATTTGCTCAGGAGTAGGCAGGCTCACTGGCTCAACATTACACCTCTGAAAACACCTGTGAGGAGGGCTGCAGTGGTACTGAGACCAGAGGCAGTGGGCAATAGTATGCCCCTCCAGACTCAGGGTAAGGATTACCTCCAGGCCATGTTGGTGGGCCAGGTCCATGTCAAAAAGCTCCTGGCAGGCCACAGAGTTCTCACCACCAGAGATGTAGGGCAAATTCCAAGGAATAACAAGAAGGTACACCAAGTTGCCTTTGATGCACTTTACATAGGCAATTTCATTCTTGAGGCCACTTGTTAACAAGCAAACCCAAGAGTGAACAGGTATGTTGCTTGGCTGTACAAAGGGTTCCATTTCTTCCATTGGTACTGGCATGATCTGTGAGACAAGGTTGGTGTGCAAAGGGGGAAGCCTGAGTTGGACATCTTGCATGCTGGGAGCTTCCACATAAATGTGGAAAGGGACCAAATGGAAAGTCTTGCATTTCAGGCCTTCCAGATTGAAGTGCTGGAGGACAAATCCTGCAGAATGAGCTAATGGAGACCAGGTGAGTTCCCAAGCAAGGGAGTGGAGAGGAGACATGTGTAGAAATATCTGTAGGCTACTACAGGATGTCAGTATAGTAGAATAGTTGTAATATGAATGGACTTACCCTTGGTAGTGAACAAACTACTGAGGGAATACTAGTAGAAAATACTACAAGAATGTGCGCTATTTCAGCTTATGTAAGCAGCCAAAACATCGCACAGTGGTCAAGTACCACAGGGGCACTTCATGTCCCAACAACACAATGTACCAGAGGGCAGCATGACCTTGAATACTCTTGGCTGAGTCTGATTTGTACCCACCTCCATACAATCTTCAACATTGCAAACTGGGCCCTGCTGATGTGCCTTTGCCCTTGACCCTTCTGCACTCCCCTCACCACTGTAGTGATGAAAAAGGCTTTCAAGCTGTTGAGTTAAATTTGCACACCCTGACAGAGTGTCAAGTCCAGGCCTACTCCGACCAACTCTGATGCTGGATGAGGCCTGGGGGGAGGTTTGGAAGCAAGTCCAACAGAAAGAACTGAACTCCAACTGGCAAAGTGTTGGCAGGAACAAAGTCCACTGAGATGAAGGCAGAGTGGAGTGAGGGTGTTGGGTTTAGCTCATGCACTACCCCATTGCACAATCTCAGCCCTTGTATTTCAGAGGAAGAGTACAGATGGACACATAGTGTAGTCACATTTAGTCACAACACATGGGCAGCCTGTGTGCCAAAACACCAACACTTATATAGACCCCGAGACAGGCCTGCCTAAATAGATTAGCCAGTACACATGGACAGGCCTGAGGGACTAAAGTGAGAGCAACATATGTATGGGCCTGTAAGTGCATTACCACAACATATGGGAGGGCCCATGGTGGGTAAGGATGTTGAAACATTTAGACAGGCCTGTGACCAATTAAGTATACTGAGTTGCTGTAAGACATGGACAGGCCTGTCCTGGTAGGTTACACCCCTGTTGCAACATCAAGGCAGGCCTGCCTATCATAACATGGAGAGGGTCACAACATAAGGATGGGCCTGTCTATGATTAGAATACAAAGTTGGCAACATGTGGACAGGCCTGGGAGTAATATCATTTATGGTGTTGCAACATCTAGACAGGCCCATTCATAATAAGCTGTACCCCTGTCGCAACATAAAGACAGGCCTGTTGACAGTAAGATGTACTGCTGTTGAAACATAAAGACAGGCCCATCACTAGTATCATTTAGTAGAGTCACAACATAAGGTCAGGCCTGTCAGTAGTATTATGCAACATATGGACAGGCCCATCAGTAATCTCATGTATAGCATCACAACACATGGATGGGCCCTTCAGTAGTATTATTTATATTGTCACAACATATGGGTGGGCCCAGCCCCAGTAAGATGCACCCTGTCAAAACATAAAGACAGGCCCATCACTAATATCATCTAATAGAGTCACAACATATGGACAGGCCCTTCAGTATATTATTTATATTGTCACAGCATATGGATGGGCCCATCCACAGTGAGATGTACCTCTGATGAAACATAAAGACAGGCCCATCAGTAATCTCATGTATAGCATCACAACATATGGACAGGCCCTTCAGTAATATTATTTATATTGTCACAACATAAAGATGGTGTGGGACACTACCTCCAGGTAGCATGCAAATAAGGGGGAAAGCTGTAGGGTAATCCCTAGACTTGACCCAAGGGGTGCAGAGTAGGAAGGAGATGTAGAATATGGTGGTAGAGTCAATTGAGGAGTCAAATGTGGGGCATGGAATTTAATTCTGCAGAGATGGAGGTAGGAATAGACTTGCTTTTGAAATTCTGGGTGATGATCTTGACCTGACAAAGTAACTCTGAGATGAATTAAGCACATGGGAGGGGAAATGAGACACAGTAGATGCAAGGACACAAAGACACAGAAGACACAATAGACACAAGGACTCAGATATGAAGCAGACACAGTAGATGCAAGACTCTTTGAACTTTTTAGACCTGCATATGACACAGATGGTGAGTCCTAGAAAAATGATGATTCTTTTACATCACTGAGGTGGAATTATATAGTACATGGATAGTAAGGTACTGATTGGAGAATTGTGGGGCAGGTAAAGCAAAATTCTGAAAAACAAAAGGGACAATGTGTCAGATGTCAAGACCATACAGCAACATGTAAAAACTAACTGTAAAGTAATAACTGAGAAAGACCAACAGGAAAGATGGATATCTTCAAACAGGATGAGTGTACACTGTACCATGGAGTGGAATGCAAAGGGTAGAGGCTGTAGATGCAAAAGGGGTTCTCACATTGCAGAGAAAGGTTCACAGGAAAGGAATGAGAGGGGTAACCAGAGTTTTTACTGATGATCTACATGGTTTCCCAGCTACATGGCAAGGCAAAGGTTGAAGCAACATGACTGCAGAATTCTGGATAGACATATGTCAGGTTGATGTTGACATGGAATTCTGGGATGATGACTGGTGTGTGTTATTGATGGACAGGGGAGCTCTGAAGGTTCAACAGGCAAGGCAGCACATGAGGCAGATGTAATAATTCTGAAGATGACAGGCATGGTTGGTAACAGCAGGATTTTGGTGTTAGCATCCCTGTTTTGGCCTCAGGGAGTATACTGCTCCCTACAACAGGCCCATCAGTAATCTCATATAGCATCACAACATATGGGTGGGCCTGGCCCCAGTAAGATGCACCCTGTCAAAACATAAAGACAGGCCCATCAGTAATGTTGTTTAATAGCATCACAACATAAGGATGGGCCCTTCAGTAGTATTGTTTATATTGTTGCAACATATGGATGGGCCTGTCAGTAATATCATCTAATAGCATCACAACACAAGGACAGGCCCTTCAGTAGTATCATGTATATCATCACAACAAATGGACAGGCCCATCTAGCAAGATGCACCCCAGTTGCGACATAAGGACGAGTCCATGTATGGTATTCTTAGGCAGCAGAAAGGGAGATCCAAGCTATCTACATAAGGACAGTCCATGTAAGGCATTCTCAGGCAGCAGAAAGGGAGATCAAAGGGATCTACATAAGGATGGGCCCATCCATGGTATTCTCAGGCAGCAGATAAGGGAAAACAAAAACCAGTGTTACAACATAAGATGGGCTGATCCATCCATCACAGGATTACAAACCCTTGGCACTGCATGAGACAGGCCCAGGAAGACAAGAAATGAAGAAAGTGGAACCTCTCGCACTATAGAGTATCTGAATTTCCCACTATAAATTGTGTTTCACATTGGATGATTTGCCTATTTAGTTGGAATCTCAGGTGCTGGTCTATGTAGCTGCAAGCCAGGCTCCACCATTGGAGCAGATGGGAAACACACAAAACAAACAGCAATGCTATTCCAGAACAACACATCATATTTTTATCTGAGCCTCTGCTTCATATATGCATTCAGGATTATTGACTTGTACCAGTATTGCCATCATGTTGTGGGAATCATTCATAGGCAGGATAAAACATGCAACATCCATGTATCTCATCATCCATCTTTAACCTCTGACTCTTCCACTCTCCAATCACCATCACCACTCTCACTGTCAAACTACTCCATTGTCTCATCATCAGAAACATGTCATCGTCATCATCTTGCAAGCTCTTCAAGAAATTGCCTGAGCTCGATGCTGCAGCCAACTGCATCCTTCAAATTTACTTCAAGGATATTGTGGAAAGCAGCAAGCTGGGAAAGGCAGACAAGATTGTGAAGTGGAGAGGTGCCATCAAGGTGATAAATGATGAACTAGTACATCATAGCATCATCACATTTTTTTCACTAACTGATGCATTCAGGATGCTGTATGTGACCTCATCACTAGGACAGATGAGATTCCAATGACCCTCATCAGTGTCAACATGTTCTTAAAGTGGCATGAAGACCTTGGCTCAATTGAGCACCCATGGCCTGAGTGGAAGACTGCCCTATCCCCTTCCAAAACCAATGTCACCAACCACAAGTGGCTCAACATCATCAAGCATCAATACAACTACCACTGGTTGGGCCCCCCTATGCCCTGCATGGTGCCAAGACCAACACCACCTGCTCAAGAGACTGAAATGCCTATGAGCGACAAAGGAAATGGAAAGTGACTGAAGCAGAGGTGGAGCAAATGATAGTGGATAGCTCACACAGGATGGAGGTGGATGATGAGGGTGAAGATGAGGTGCCAGAGAAGGAAGACGATGAGGAAGAACCAGTGTGAGGCAGGCAGAAGTGCAAAGCTGCCACAAAAATGATGTCCCATCAATCCAGACATTGATCCCACTCTAGGAAGGCAACAGTGGAAACCAATGATGACAAAGACAATCCCACTCAAGGCCAATCGAAACACAAGCCTCATCCACTGTCAGATGGACTATATGGTCACACTGCCATAGCTGCCAGAAGGATGCCTTCCCCTGACCCCCATTCCTGCAAGTTGTGCCACAGACACAAGGCCCAATACCACAAGAACCCTGGGAAGTCCTGCTTCCCATGTGATGGTTGCAAAATTCAATGTAGCCATGCCAAAGGTGGGATTGCCACTCCAACTTGACAGAATCCATTGCAAGCCAGGGGAAAAAAGCAAGCTTGAAGTCTGTCCCTGATGATGGAGGCCCAAGAATCCCAAAGCCCAAAGGAACATCCCCAAAAGTGACATCTTTTGATGGCTTCCAAAGCCATCAATGCCAGGGTTGGGCCCTCCAACCAGGTAGAGACAATTCCCAAGGGATCTTCACTCAGTATGTTCACAATTTCATGTATTTATGCTGACTCAAATTTTATTTAGAGATTCATATTCCTGCATTCAAACACAGTGATTCCCATCCAATCCCAGCCACTGTATGAGTGGATTCGATTGTCAAGGCTGGCCCATCCATTGTGCAGGAGGTAGAGGGATCTATGGCAGCAGGTATGTCTAATCACTCTACATTTATGCTAATTATTGCAGTTAACCCTTGTATTCAAAGCAGACACCCACCCATTGACAACAGCAGCACCCGTCCAACTCACAACTGCTGCAACTCCCAGTGCACTG